GGTGTAGATTTTTTTTTTCAACAGTAAGGGAACAATTTACCAAGGGCAGTGGTGGAGTCTCTATCAATTTTTCTTTTTTTAATTCCATCTTTGCAGACACTGAGAGAAGTACAACGTGACCATTTATTCCTGTCCATAGCTTGCTGTTCCCATAAGCCAAGCCTGATCATGGCCCTGACCAAGGACATCCTGCCGTCTAGTGAAGGCCTTGACAGCTAGGTCAGGAACTGACCTTGCTTGGGTTTTCATTATATTTTTGTTCCATTTCTTTTCTCTCTCTCTCTTTTTTTTTTTTAATGTTTTCCATGATTGGCAGTTTTAAAATCCTATTGGATGCTTTTTTTTTAAAAAAGGATCAGTTCTTCTTCAAAAGGAATTATTTGGGGGATGCCTGTGGCCTATGCCATACAGGAGGTCAGATTGCACAGTAATGCACATGATCAAAGTGGTGCTTTCCAGCCTTGGAACCAGAAGAGAGAAAGCCAGCGGTGATTTTTGCTCTTGATTTATATATTTCTTATTTACATATACAAGAAATCAAACCAATGTAGAGCTGTCCAGCTGTGTCCACATCTGGCCTAAGTTAATCCTTATTCTTATTCCTACTTTTTGATCTTGTGATTTGTGGTACTGCCTACCATGAGAATCATAGGCCTGCCCCTCCTCCCAAGCAGGAGATTGGCATAAACTTGAGATTTGGGGGGGAAAAAATATGTTGTGGTCTCTCATTTTCCTTGAGTTTCTTGAACTGTTGGGGGAGGAGGGTCACTTTTTCAGTCCCCCTCCCTCCAGAACTTAGTTTATTTTCTAAAAATAGAAGAGGAGACTCCTGAAAACACGTGACTCCAGGAGCGGGGCCTGAAGGACCAGTGCAGAGCAGGTACATGGGTTGCAAGGCTCCGTTTGTGGCATCATGGACTATAAGCTCTTTGGGGTCAGAGTCTAGTTTTGCATCCTTAGTGCAGCATCCTGCAGAATGGGATTTGAAAGCTGAGTGAGAGCTAGATGCTACTATAATCTAGTGGTAACAATAGTTGCTCTGCTGCAGCTCAGACAAGCATGTCAGTTTCACTGTGTGGGCGTAGCAAAGGCTAAGGTGGGCTGTTTGCACTAACCAGAAAGAGCTGCGGACACTCACTTCCTTGTTTGAAAGTGTATTCACATCCACTCGGCGAACCACCGAGAAATCACCATCCCAGTAGCCCCGGAGGAGGGGGCTGTATTATGTCTGTAGTTCACAGTCAGATGTATCCCCTCCCCCACCAGTGCTGCAAACTAAACCTGGATTCTGAGCAAGGATGTTAAGAGACGGGTAATTGGCTAATCATGTAGTCAATAGAATTTTTATCGACTACGTGATTAGTTGATAAGGGAAGGCGCTTGGTCCCGGCTTATGCCGGGTCCAGGAGCTACCCCCACTGCGTCTCTGCAGTTTAAATATACTAAGAGCTGGGCTGCCTGCTGGTCCAGCTTTTGGTACCCCTGCTGCAGCTCTGCAGTTTAAATGTAGGTCCCAGGCCTGGCATGAGCTGGGATTGAACTGGGCTGCTTTCCTGGCTGGAGCAGCCCCTGTCCATGGCTGCCTGGGCTGGCTGTGGACAGGGCTTCACTCCCCCCCCCGCTCCCACTCTGCCCAGCACTGGCTCCTGCTCCCCCCGCCCTTGCTGCTTCTGGTAGAGGCAGCAAGGTGGGGGAGGGCATTGTGAGTAGTCCACTCAACTACCCGATAAGCCTAGGTACTACTCACTTACATCTTTAGTTGTGAGGATAATCATGGATCCATTCCTTGGGCATCCTCTCTAGATATGCAATCCAGTGACTCCTGGTGGTTCCTGTCTGAGATGGATTGCCTCTGTGGTGCCCCCTGGAATTGGGGTACCACTGAACCCTCTGTCCCACTAGCCTGGGCTCCCTCTCACTGTGCTGCTGTGAGAAGCTGCAGACACACGCCCCATCTTACACTCCCACCAACATTCACACAGATAGGGAACATACCCAGCTGCGTTTACATGTAGGCCTCTGATCCGCCACTGCATGTGAGCCAGCAATAGAGAGGCTGCAGCCAAAATAATCACCAACTTCCCAGTCTAAGACCCCAGAGCAGTACTGTTCTGCTCTGGTCCAGACTCCAGCCAATGTGAATTTATTATCCAGCCCACCTCTCTTTGTAGAGAAGAAATGCAACAGCCCCTCTGAGCTGCGGTTCCCACACGCTTCACTCAAATCAGATTACACAGTAAATATACAGAAACACAAACAAAGCTTAATGTACTAGAAAGCTAGGATTTGAATTAATTCTCTTACCCTGACAGATGATACAAACAGGCTGCAGATTCTTGAGGCACAAGCTACACTTGCTTAGCAGTTTGGAATCCCCAGGTGTTTCATACACAGGCTAGAAATGTGTTTAACACGGGCCCAGCACTTTCTCCCGTTCAGTCTTTTCCTTGGGTATTTCCAGAGCAAGGAACAACAGATGATGTCAGTTCCTGCCTACAGGCTGGCCAAAACGCCCACAGGAAGGTTACAATAGTCTACAGTCCATTGTCTTTGCTGATAGGCCATCAGCCCCCTCTGGCTGCTTCATTGTACCTGAGAGGCTGGCTGTGGGTGGTTCCAGAGTAGGGCCATTTGAAATAGACTCGTAGACAATATTTATAACTTCTGATAAAAAATGATACATGCATACAAATAAGGGAATCATATTCAGCAAATCATAACTTTTCCAACGACACCTCACAGGACCATCTTGTACAAAACACATCATAATTATGCCATAATCATGCCATAATCCTATCTTAATGTCCCTCTGAAGAATATGGGATGCAGTGTTACATTGTCCCCTTAGCATGTTTTCCCAGGCAAAACTGATTGGGACTTAAACAATCCAGAGTGATGCACGAGAAGGAAGAGAATCCAGCTCTCCCTAGGGTCTAGGAGGCGTTGAAAGCAGGAAAATCTATTTTAGTTATTTCAGTCACCAGATCGAACTCCAGCGCATACCCAGAAACAGACCTGCAGAGTAAGAGAAATTGCTTTTCAGAGCAGAACTGTGCTTTGTGCCTACGTGTGCATCTGCTACCAATTTGGGATCTCCTACAGTTCTCTGGATATTATTTTGATCTTTTTACAAGGCGCTTGCTGAGCTGGGAAGTGAAAGGTGATGTGAGGTGGGGGAGGCCATGTCTTTTCAGATTGGGGGAAGGGTGGAAAAGTCAGGCATCGAAAGCCTTCTGGGGTTGTAATTACAGCAAATGATTTGACAGATGCCTGCCTACATCTGTGGGAGAGAAACTCAAGCAAAATTTCCTGACCTGATGAATTCAGGGATGAGCTATTGTCTCTTAATCCTGTCTGGCAACTGTACCACGTTAAGCAGCCAGGATCAAAAATGAAGCTAGACGAATTCAGACTGGCAATAAGGGGCACATTTTACACAACAAGAGTAGTTAACCATTGGAACAGTTTACCAAGGGTTGGCATAAAGTCTCCATTGCTGGTGGTTTTTAAAACAAGTTCGGATGGCTTTCTAAAAGATCTGCACTGAATTATTTGGGGGTATTTCTCTGACCTGTGATGTAAAGGAGGCCAGACCAAATGATCACAGCGGTCCCTTCTGGCCTGGGAATCTGCGCAATCTCAGCTGTTCTTTGTGTAAGTAGAATGTTAGTACTCTGTGAAATCGGTGCAGCTCATGTTAAGTGGGTTGGACACTGGCTAATTGCTAGCTCTCCAAAAATAATTGGTAAGGGGGAGTGGTCATCCAGTGGGGTGTTTGTGGTGGAGACCTATAGGAATCTGTTCTTGGACCAATGCTATTCAGTGTATTTATCAGTGATCCAGAAGAAAATATGAAATGTGTGTAGGAAATGTGCAGCTGACGCAGAGTTTGGTTTAATGGTGAGTAAGGACAGGTCAGTTATACAAAGGACTCGGGATTGCTCGGTGAGCTGGACTCGTTGGAGCAGCACATGTTCTTAGTGCAGCCCAATGGAAGATCTGCATCTAGGAACAAAGAATGTTGGTCGTCGTCATGGGATGGGGGCCGGTCTCCAGGAGAGCAGCAAACCAGGTCAGTCCTGGGTGGGAGACCCAAAAGGACTCTGAGTCATGGGAAATGATCAGCTGAACACAAGCTCTTTGTGATGCTGTGGCTTAGAGCTGTTGCGATCCTTAGCTTTACAAGTAGGAGACTATCAAGTAGGAGGAGGGAGATGGTGTTACCTCTGTAAATGGCATCAGTGAGATCTCACCAGATACCGCTTCCAGCTCAAGTGTCCACAGCCCAGAAAGGCTGCTGAAAACTGGAAAGGGTTGGGAAGAGGGTCTGGAAGAGATGTGAGGTGTCTTCTAGGTTGTCAGAAAGGTTAGGAGTTGGCTTGACCATGGTGTGGAAGTGGATATAAGAGCTGATAATGGAGTGCTTTTTGACAGACTAAAGGCATCACTTGATCCAACGATAGAGATTCAGACTAGGAATAAGGTGCAGAGGAATTAACAGTTGGAACAGTTTACCAAAGGCCATTGTGGGTTCTCTGTCACTGGCTGTCTGTAATTCCGAGATTCAGCATATTTCTAAAAGAACCTGCCCTGGCTTAACCAGAAGTTATTGGACGTGTTGTGGGATTGGGTGGGTGGGTGAAATGTGGCCTCTGTTGTTTGGTGGGTCAGACCAGAGCCTCACAATGGTTCCTTCTGGACTTGGAATAATCCTGCTAACTCTGTTTGGAAGGAGGTAGAATCACAAGCCTCTCTGAACTGTAAGTAGCCTGAGCATAGTGATGGGGCAGAGCTCGCCTGACCTAATGGGAAGGAGGTGACAGGTGCGGTTCAAGAAAGGAGCAGGGAGGCTGGAGCACCAGTATGGCTGAGTGGGCTACAGAGAGTTTGCTGCAGTGGAAGGAAATGGGACGGGAACAGCTGCTGCCTGCACATTTGAGACACTTGGGGAATGGCTGCCCAGGGCTGTGAGGTACTTCACTGTATGATGCATCCCATTTTTCACCTTGTCTGTCGCCCTCTGTTGGTTTCTCACCATTCTCCATCCCTCACCCCAGAATCAATTCGCCCCCTGCCCGGAATATGATTTGATTTCTTTTGATGACTCAATTGTTTCTGTTGTGATTTATCGTGTTGTTTTTTTTCTTCCTTTTCCCAATCCAGTTATTGTGATCACTCTAAGCCCTGCTCCCGCTCCGTCCCAACGAGCAGGTACCAAACTTTTTATCATCGCTGCTTGGATTTCCTGCATCATTTCCTTACCGCTTCCTTCAACTGCATAGAAATGCCACCTGTCTGACTTCCCTGCTGTCTGTCTTCTCCTCCTCCCCTCCCCCATCGTTCCCATATTCACCTGCTACCACCACCGTTGATCAAGCATACACGGCCATTTACACCTAGCAGCAGCATTAAGAATAGCTTGCACCACTGTGCCTGCCATCTGAGGCTTTCTAGCAGGTAAGTATGAAACACGTGGACCCTAGACTAGAGGTAGGCAGTTGTCGCCTTCACCTCACACAGCCATCTCTGGGCTGGAACGCAGCAGCCGCTGAACAGCACACACCGAGAGTGTGCTCTGAGCATTGTTAGGTA